TAAAAAAAAAAAAATTGTTATTTGAGAAAGACATCGTGTAAACCTTAATTTCTATAGATATTGATAATTATTTCATTGAATGCTACGGATAAATCTGGTCAATAATGAGAAAGTATCTTGAAAATCTTGCTTTGAAAAGTTTTGATCAATTATTTCTTTAATTTTTTCGGTCAAACGTGTAAATTTATTTACAAAAATCCAGTCAATCGTTTAACCAATAATACATTTGATGATTTTTTAAATCTTTTCGAAAATTCATGTGAACTTTGTAAATATTGTTTTATCCATATTTATCTATCCACAAATCTCATATTTTATAGTCACAACTAAAATTTCATATTTATTTAATAAAGATTGTTAATTTCATAAATTAACTTTTATATTTCGGATTATTCAACTTAATTGATAATTTTTTTGTCTATATTTATCTATAGTTCCGCTCACCTGCCCACGGTGGGCAGTGCCCACTACTTTTTTTTTACATGAAAAACGTATTTTGAGAATACGTTTTTCAATTAATTTAATTGAAAAACGTATTCTGGGAATACGTTTTTCATGTAAAAAAAGTGGTGGGCACTGCCCACCGTGGGCAGGTGGGCGGTTCTATGTTTATCTAACTACAAACTCTTTTAAAGTTTGGAAAGAATCTCATATATGTCGATTCTTGGTCGCTATTTTTTTTGTACACATCCATTTTTCATCTCATATTGAAACTACAGATTTTAATGTGAATCTTAAGTATCTCATATTTATTAAATATATATATTTTTAACAAATAAATAATATATAATATTTTCATATTTTAATTTCTTTTCTTGCAATAATGAGAGGTTAAATATAAATAATTATGTTTAAATAAAATTTTGAAAAAGGTTTTTAGTAACTAGCTCGTTCGTGCATCGCACGAGATTCGCACTAGTATATATTGAAATAGCTTGTTGAAATAATTTAATATAGTAACATTGATTTTGTAATCAAATTGGTTGAGTTATTATTAAAAGAAACATAGTCCAAATTACTTTAATATATTTGAAAAAAAAATAAATCAAATTATACCTTCTTGTTGCAAATCGCGCAACTAGGTTAATACCATGACTTTCTGTATAAATAAAGTTGTATCGAATTCAAACATTATTTTGTGATAATTATCACAATAAAATACTCATTATATTAATTACGAAACACTGTAATTTCTTCTTCTTCTTCTTCTTTTTAATAATCAACCATATACCGTGATTTTATACACCGTGATTTTTAAAATGGGACTATCGAATATGTTGTGTTTGTAGAAAATATTGTTTGAATGTGCATGATAAAATTGTAAATATAATTACAAAATAAAATTGAAATCTTTTATGTCAATCCACGCAAATCATTAACTTAGGAAAAAAAAACCTAAATATTTACTTTATATGTACGTATGTATGTATGTAGGTATTGTATTGATGGCATGTGAGTGAGACACTGATATTTTTTATATTTGAGAGTTTGTTGATTCAAGATGGATATGTAGTTCAGCCATGATAATTATGATTGTTTGACTTTTTCTTGATCTATATATCTATATAAAGAGACAACATATTTACCAAAAATAGTAATAAGAAAAGTCAACGCATTTATTGCATTCTATTTTTGACAGTTTTTATTTATTTTTTAATTATTCCTAAAAAATCAATCAACTATATATGCACCTTAAATTCACGGATTTTGTGGATTTAATTTAGGTAAATTTTGACTTATGCTTACAATTTTGTAAAATTCAAAATTCTTTCTCCTTTTTTATTTTAAAAAAAAAAATTAATTACCATAAAATCGAGAATTTCGAATTAGGCAAAATACTAATATATCTTTTACTAATTGCAACAAACTAATTGTTTATTATAAAAGATTGGATTGCATTGAAATTAGGTTAAATTATGTAAAATTCAGCATGACAATTTTGTAAAAGTGAAAATTCTTTCATTTTTTAATGAAAAAAAAAGTTGTTTACCATAAACTCCGGAAGTTCAAATTAGGCAAAATACTATAACATTATGTTTACCTAATTGCAACAGATCATATTTATAAAAAGAGAACTGAATTGCATAGAAATCGGACCCAATATCAAATTGAAAAGTAATATTTAAAAATTCCTTATTAATTGGCTATTACTTTCTTTAGTTCGGATTTTTTTAAACCTAAAATAGAGTCAAATAATATTAATTTGCAATTCAAAATGAAACGGATTGGAACATCCTAAAAAATTGGATTTTGTTTAATCCTTTAGAACACAAATTTAAAATTGATTGCATACACTTACAACATAAATAATGTTTGCATACACCTATAAAATATCATATATGTTATGCTAAATATTTACCTTAATACAATGTTTGTGGTACTGCATCACCCCACTGTAAAAGAAATTGATGTCAACTGGTATGACATCTTTCTTGTCGTGGTTGACTTCAAAGTAGTTTGGGATGCCCACAAATCAAGAGTGTGCTTGTCCATCCATGCTCCTTAAGGGCGTAATAGTATATGAATTTCACAGTAAATATTCCATTCAAAGCTCAAATTTAACTTAACTTTAATTCAATATCATTATCTCTCATATTATTAATAAAATTAAATAATATCAATCAATCATTTTTCATACATCACATCAACTTTAATTCACTATTCATCAACTCACATAATTTTAACTAACCATCACTTCTAATCATTTTCTCATGTTTTTACATCAAATCAACTTTAATTATTTTAATTTAAATATTATTTCAATATATTCACTAACAACTAATCATACTACTTTCTTTTAAACTTAACAATAGTAAAAAAAAAAAATAGTTTTTTACTAATTTAATTTATATCCAATCACTCCTAAGCGTTTTCCAACCTTGTCTTCATCCCTTGTAAGATAAACATGATTTATTACTTCAACTTGATAGTTAGCCTGAAGATGCGCCACAAAAGTGTTAAAGTGTTGATGTTTTTCATTTTTGCTAACCAAGCTCTAACCAGGGGCTGATTTAGCAAATTGAATGAGGTGGGTAGTAATTGAAAAGGCGAAAAATAATGGCACAAATACGAAACAAAATATATAATACTATACATACATTCTAATTTTTGATGAAAATGTCAAGATCCCATGATTTTTCTCAATATTAAATTGTACTCGACATGAGTAGAACAGAAATAATATTTTTCAATATGTTGGAGCGAAAAATTTATTACAATTATATTTCTTAGTCAATTTTATAGTTGACATGAATTTTCATTGGTTACAATTCTCTAACATAACTATTATAATAGCATGCGATGTTTTGATAGATTTATACAAAGATACAACAAATAAATATAACATTTTAATAAGAAAAATTTAATATAAGAGAACAAGAAAAAAATAACTAATTAATAAACAACGTCATTTACTGAATATTTTTGTAAAACTACACAATTTATATTTATTCTTTTAGGAATATATATTCTAAAAATTAAAAATCTAAAATTCCAAGTGGGGAGCCCCACCTAGAAGGGCTATAGACCATCTTTAACTGTGACCCCAATGAGTGGGTCACCAATTAAAAAACATAAAAAAAAGAAGGTCAGAAAAAATGAGCGACCCAAGTCACATTGTGACCTTGGGTCGCGATCCGTGTATTGTGTGGAGAATGAGACATTTGTCCTATTTTAATTCAATAAGTATATTTTCTTGTTTAAAAAAATAAAAATAATATTAAAACTCGTATTTTTTCATTCTCTACTAATAGAGATCACACTTGATATATTTTGAATAAAATTGTAATTTTTAAATAAATTAAAATAAAATAAATATTTAGGTTGAATTGGGTTGAAGATAAAGATGAATTGAGTTGTAAGGTTGAGTTGTGTAGGTGACGAGAGAGAAATAAATTTTAATTATTAAATTGAATTGAATTGAGTTGGAGATAAAGATAGTCATAGCTCCACGCCCGGCTCTAACACAACTCTTATTGAATGGCGGCCCATTATCCTGGACAAGTATTTGAGAAACATGATACTTATAACTTATAAGTGAAAAGAAAACCAAATAATCTCATAATCACTAGGCCCGTCTCTTAATTACTTTTTCATCCATTGGGTCATCCTTATTTTTATGATAAATATATACAGAATTAATGAAAATAGAAAAATTATTGACAAAATCTATATATATATAATTACTAGTCAATAGCATTTAATAAAACCTAATTAATTTTACCTATGTGGCAATTTAATACTTTTCCCTCCAAAAACCGTTACTTTTTTATGTATATAATCTTTCATTTAATTATTAAATAATCAATACTAATCACTTCAAAATTACAAAAATCATTTTAAGCTTTTTTATTAGTGACAGCTGACCATATAATGTGTTGATCGTACAATGTGATTAGATGTTATTATTGTGGTTACATTTAAATTAATATTTTTTTGAAAATTAAAAACGTATTTGAAATTCCTAAATAAATGATAAATAATTCAAAAAAAAAAAGACGTACCAACATATACATTACATCCAATCAGATAAACGTAATTTTTTTTTTTAAAAAGTAAATATTCCAACTTCTTTATTTGTAAATTTGGAATGCAAAAAAGTGAAAGAAAAATAATTAATCATTATATGCATACAAATAATTCACAATACTTTATTTACATCTGTGCAAATGCACAGGGTCGAATACTAGTTTGTTTTTTAAAGTCTTTATATGAAACTGTTACATAAGCAGTCATATATATTTGCTATGTATGTGTTTGCAAAAAGAAAAAAAAATCAAATAAATATATTTAATGAGTAAAAACGGTTTGGTCGACGTGTTTCGACTGGGTCACACGCAAGAATATCTGAATACGTGCATCGACTTGTATTAAACCCCGTTCACCCCACTATAAGAAAATGATTAAATTCAATCGATAATTATTCCATCACTTATTGATGACAATCCCAATAGAAATTTCAATAATATAACTTCATTAGAAAGTACTAACGAAAATTCCACTAAATAATTTGTGTCGGAACCTCAACGGATTTAATTATATAAGTATACATTTTTATTTTAAAAAAAAAGTATGACAGGTCGACCCGTCTAATGGTGGTGGCCAGACTCACACAAAAAATTGTGGTAAAACAATTTATCAGTCCCAAGCCACATATGAATTGGTTTTGGCTCTCTAAATATATGATCACACGAAAAAAACAATTAGCAAGGACATAAGTCCTGCAATTCTTGAAAGAAACATGGTATTTTTGTGTGCTATGTTTGGTAAAGTAGGATAAGCATCAGGAGGGGGAAGACGACATTCATCCCCATTGAAGTAAATTTTCCTCGGAAAAGCCCAGCCATGCCTGAGTGTAAATTTATCCTTATCCTTCCTTAATAATATCTCTGTCTGAACATTGCCCGATGGTCCGGCTTCCATTAAAAGATCGTTATAAAACTTCATGCCGTAAAACATGGCGGTATCATCTGCAGGAATGCATGACCAACAATGGATAATAAGATTTTCGTCTATGTTTTTTTTTTTTCTTTTTTAAATTTTCGTTCATGATAAGACGTATGTAAAATTATTTCCATTCCATAAAGCGTATGTAAAACATTGTTTAATTTAATTTGTACCGACTCACTTATTGACTGGTAAGGGATGAGTGGTTTGTAATCGAAGCTGAAAACTTGAGTGACATTGTTGAGATTAGGATGTTGCGCGACTAGCGTCCACTGCGTGTAGTTGAGTCGGTAGTTGAAATTTGTGACCGCAATCTTGACACGCCAATATTCTCTGTAGTTGATTTTGACGTGCCAATGGACACGTATCGGGCACATATGATGCGTGCATTGCAACAACGGCACGTTGTCCTTTCTTGGGGTGTTTATTCCCGTTTTCTTCAACTTCTCCGAGTCACTCCTGCACGTATATTTTACAAGATGAAAATAATATCCGAAAAAGCAATAACAACACGATTAATTACTAGTAGAATTGAATCGGATTGAAAGAAAGTTGGTGACCTAATGCAATCTTTCTTGTTGTGGCATCCACAAGAGCAAGTTGGGCAAGGAGTGATTGTATTGTTGTAAAAAGAAGAGAATGAAACACAACAACTTGGGTTCT